CTCCCGCCGCCTACAAAGGAGAGGAAATCACCTCATGCAGAGGGTAGTCGGGTTGCACTGCACCAGGGAGCTCCACCATCCTCTGAGTTGCAGGCTGCCTAGGAGCAAGTCAAATGACGAGTCCACCAGGCAGTTCGCCACCAGGCAATTCGCCACCAGGGAGCTCGCCACCAGGGAGTTCGCCACCAGGCAGTTCGCCACCAGGGAGTTCGCCACCAGGGAGCTCGCCACCAGCCAAATCGCCACCAGGCAGTCCACCACCAGGCAGCTCGCCACCTGGGAGCTCACCACCAAGCAGTTCGTCACCAGGGAGCTCACCACCGGGCAGTTCTCCACCAGGGAGTTTGCCACCAAGTAGTTTGTCACCAAGTAGCTCTCCACCAGGGAGCTCGCCACCAAGCAGTTCGTCACCAAGTAGCTCTCCACCGGGGATCTCGCCACCAGGCAGTTCTCCACCAGGGAGTTCGCCACCAAGTTGTTCATCACCAAGGCACGTCACCACCGGGTCAAATAACGAGGTACTTAGCCAAAAAAAATTTATACATCACAAAAAATGGTACGTGCCCAGAAACGGTTACATCACTTTCCATCATCTCCTTCAAGTGAAAAACCAAATATCCAGTGTATGTAGTATTGTAATAGTATGTAGTATCATGCCCTCCTTTGTCTTGTAATTGTAAAGTTGTAATATATATTCTGCATCATGATTCATAACTGCATCTAGCCAACCCTGGTAGGTTGGTACAGTGGTAGTGTCGTAGTGTGGTACCTGCAGGTCCTGCACTAAAACAACTAAACAAGACTCCAATGGAACTATAGCTTACCAGAGGGGTTAGTAGATCACGAATCACGTGCCATGGCAGGATTGGCGACGAGAAATGTTCTCCGAGACTCCGACTTCTCCCAATATTTTTAAAATTTATTTTTCATTATTTCAAAAATTCATTTAAATTGTGGGTTATTTCGTTTTCCTTCTCATGTGTGAGAAAATATCTGGTCAAATGGCCAGTACCACCCTTGCTACAATAGCTAAAGTCTTTTCTACATTTTTTGCAAACTGCTCTTTTCCCCTTCCCCTCAACATCCTCTATTTTAAATATTCTCCAAATCAAGTTACTAAACTTGGGGTTTTGGGAAGAGTTGACCATTATTTTCAAATTCTAAAAAAATAATAAAATTAATTTAATCGGACTTACCCCAGAATCCCGGATTGCCAGTTCAAAATCCCAACTTGATTTCAATGGTTAAAGCCTTTCAACGTGACAACATCCAAGGCTCAAAGCCTCCCAAATTGCTAACTTGGAGAATCAGACAATCAACCAATCAAACTATAAGACTATCAGAGTTCACTCATATGGTAGAGAATGTATGAGAGACTGAAAGAGACCGAGAGTTTGAGAGACTGAGAGAGGAAAGACTGAAGAGATTAAGAGAATAACTTAATAGGAGAATTGTTGAATGTTGATTGTTAAATTGGTGTGATGAAAATGGTGGAGGATAAAGCTATTTATAGGAATTGAACATAATTCAATTACCCAAAAAACTATTTGTTATTTAGTTGTTGGGAGGGGTATTTTGATCATTGTAAAATTACTTCTAATTTTACCCAAAATGCCTCATAAACTAGTTGTTATATAACTATTGGGGGGTATTTTGTAAAATACCCCCAAAAAGCTGAAACTAGCCGTTGAGCCCCTTTGGGAAGGGGGGAACCACCCAAGTCCCAAGTCCCAAGGCTCCCAATGACTATATTCCCGAACGGGCCGAGCATGGCCCGTTACGGGCCTGGCAGGCTGTGCTTTGTGTTGTGCCACGAGCTGGGGCATGATGGCACGTGAGCCACGAGCGACCCGGCCCGATTTACACATCTAGTGAAAGATGCATGTGAGCCTAAGGCCCAATGGCCATACCACATAGAGAGGTTTGATCCTACACCTCTATTTAGGAGTGAGGTTGAATGATCATCTCAAGTTGTTGCTATAGCTTCTTCGCCCTTTTTTCTATTCTTTTTCTTTGGATAACAAGAGGGATTCAGCCCCTATATTTTCTGAGTTTTCTTTTCTTTTTCTTCTCGAGAATATGTTGATTTTCTACATATAAATTTTTATATGAAATACATACTTATTTTATGAAAACTATTGAAAATTACTAGTGAAAGACAATTGCTAATTGCTATGAATCATAGGAAATTACCTAAGACTTTAGGGTTTATTTAAAAAATTAAATTGCCTAGGCAATAAGGTGCTACCTGTCTTGTTGGCATGATGATTTCCCAAAAACCCATACCACGTAGGATCCACACTAGAATTTGATGAATCAGTGATTTTTTTCATGTTTGGTTGGTCGGATTATGCCGATATTTGGGAAATCATCCAAAAATCAATTATTAAAATCAGTCGTTTTCAAGGATCACCTTTTTTTGGTGATTTCCTGATTTTTAACTGATTCCGATATTTTGATGGCATGGAATTGAATAATAACTCTAATACAAAAATAATTGGCCCTTGAAAATCAGTACCAAACAGACTCAAAGCCAATTTCTCAAAAATCAGCTTACATGCATAAATGATATCAAACAACAATTTTTTACGATTTTTCAAAAATCACTGATTCCAGAAATCACCGATTTTTGAATAATCAGCAAGGAGAAATCATCATCGATGCCAAACATCACCAGAATTAGCAGTTAAAAGAATGAGTTCCACTGATGCTGGAAATACATGATGGCAGAAAAACTTATACCAATCAACCGGCTTCATAAATGTGGTAACCAATAAGGTGAGTTTTTAACAAAAATTGATGGGGAGTTTTCATTGGTCAAATCCCTTTGGGTATCACGTCTTTCCAGCATCATAGGTTTTTCCTTAAAAATTCAAATCATGTAATTTAACATAACATAAAATGAAAGAAACAACAGTTACCAAAAAAAATGAAAGAAACAATTATAAAACTCCAATAGTTGGGAGCTTATGGAATCATCAAACTGAAGTGAGAGAATCTTGTTTATATTCTTGGAGCTAATAAAAGATCCTGAAACAAACAATTTGGAGAAAATGACTCGCATCATTGTCTTCATTTGGCAGAAGATAATATAACTAAGTGGGCAACAAACACTACCAAGCTTTAACATGGGCTGATGGGGTAAATTTTGAAACCAGAAAGCTTTCCATAACCACCAAATAGATCAGATTTTAGGCACCTATGTTAACATATCATCCTCTCCTGTCAATATCTGCAAATTGATCTACTGATCAAAAAAAAATCTGCAAATTGATCTGGCAGATACCCAGGGAAAGACAGGGTCCATAAAGATGTCTTACAATGTAGAAATTCAATGCCTCTGTACCCTTGTTATGGTTCATTATTTTTTGAAGTTTTCACTATTAGTTTGAACAGGCAGAAACTGCCACAGATTATGCTATATTTACCTATAGAAGCACAAGACAAATTTTTCCTTTCTCTGTAATTATTTCCTATGAAGCTGCAATGGAGATTCGACAGCCTTGCTTTAACCTACAGAACCAAAAAGTAAGTACCTACTGAAAATTTTAAAACAAGCAGAACTTTACCAGACAAAATCTCAACTCTGCCTTCTGGAGAAATATAACTTCTCTCCCCACTTATTATCGAATCCTCAGCAACAAAAAATCCACGATGTTCAATTATCTGAGTCTGTCCCAAACAGCTTCATCCTCGACAATGGAGTCTGCAAGAACCCCTCCACCTCGAATTTCTTGGGACAAAGTTCGTGGTATTTCTTAAACTGCTCTCTCGCCTCCTTGTTCCGATCAAGCAAGCTATAAATCACCCCTTGGCAAAAGTAAGGCCTGAAATCCTTGGGGTCCTCCTTGGCCAATTCCTGATAACTCCTCAATGCCTCATCCACATTCTTCTGAAGATACTGAATCTGTGCCATTATCAACCTTACGTCGCGAGCTTCTTTCACCTTGTTTTCCTCCTCTGCAAGTTTCAGGGCTTCTTGAAGCCGGTTAAGCACTGCTTCACCTTCTCCACAGCGGTCCATAAGCAAGGCATTCTCGAATAGAGCTTCGAAAGAGAGAGGATTCACAGCCAAAATAGCTTCAAAAACCTGCCGAGCTTCATCAACTTTCCCCATTTCATTCAATAATCTCGCCACGAGAAATTTCCATTCAACCTCCGATGGTTGAGCAGAAACCAAGCGTTCCAATATCTTCAAAGCTTCCTCATCCTCTCCATCTTCCAGCTTCCGTTGCAAGAGAGATTTCAAGGCGTCAATGGCGTCAGAATGCGATTCTAGAAACTGAGACAGCGGAGATTCCTGGGATTTCTCCTGCTCCTGCTCTTGTCCCAGCTCTTCTTCCAACACAGGTTTTTCCTCCGTGAACGTCGCCGGGGGTTCAGCCCTGGCCGGAAACTGAGAGAACTTTCCGACCATCAATGCGGCCACTGCAGTTGCTAGAATCGCCGTTGAGGCAGTGCTCTTAATTCTTCGGATTATGAGGTTTTTGTCACAGTTAGGACTGGAACTCGAAGAAACCCTAACGCTTATAACCCTAGCCCTGGTTTGGGAAATTGAAGGTGGTTGGGTGGAGAAACGGAGATGGGAAGGTGATGATGAAGTGAAGGAGATAGGGAGAGATGTTCTGCCATGGATGAGAGCTCCTCGGATTAAGGAAGTATCCATGGCTAGGGTTAGGGTGTAGGGTTTTATCTCTTGATGGCAAAGAAAGACGAAGGGGTTGAAAACAATGAGCAGGGCTTTTGCTATTGCTGTTTGTTATGCAGAGAATGGTACGAGCGGGAGAGTATCAAAATTACATTGATGTCCGGAACTTTTCTTTATTTCCTTCTCACATGTGGAACTGACGAATTGTAGGTGTGGGGCCTAGAGGGATCGAGACGGTTTTGCTTTGCTATCGGGTGATCTAGGCGTCTATCAACTCTCAGTGCATCTGCCATCTGATTTTAATGGGAGTGTTTAATGAGTTGAGAATTTCCGCCAACAAAACACGTTCCAACCCTTTACCAATTTCATCTAATACTGCACATCTCACTATGAGAATAGACTCACCATAAAATAAAAATAGGACCCGCCATGTATGAGATGTGCTATATAAGATCACATTGGTAGAGGATTGGAATGTATTTTGTTGGAAGTGATCCGGAGTTGTGTTTAATGGGTAACTATTCTGTTGGGTAAACTGACTCCAAAAACCCAACACACGTGTTGGATTGGGTTTGGATCCTGCATTTACGGCAGCCTCTAATATGAACATGCCATGCCATCTCAATTAGAGTCTACTTTTAGGGGCATTCCTTTTTTGGATTTTAAGAGTGGGAAAGTTGGTCAATGGGATTTTGGTTTTTAGTGACGAGAATCTCTTATTCATTTTTCAGGTTCATGTGGGGACCAAGGAAAGTTTATATTCCTAAGTATCACTTATCCTAAGTGGGCAAATAACACCTAGGGGGGAAGTTGCTAACACTTTAATGGGACAAAAATGCCCCTTTTAATAATTAATTTTTATGGTTAAAATGGTCATTACCTTATTTACCTAGGAAATAAAAGAACATGGGTAAAATGCACTTACCCGGATAAGAGTTTCCTACGAGAAACTTACCTAGGTAACTACATTTACCCAAGTAAATAACTTACCGAAAAGCAAACAGGGCCTTAATAGTAGCAACAAACTCTAATCCGAATTCATCTATCTATTGGAAAATGACCTCCCAACTAAATATGGATTTCTTATTCTTTTATCTATGTATTTTAATAAAGGACAAATTTCTTAAATTATCCCTATGTTTAGTTAATTACTAACTTTACCCTTACTGTTTAACTATTGTCTTGCACCACCCCTATTGTTTATGACAATTGTCATGCCATTTTTCCTCTCTCCTCACTCCCTTCTCTTGTATTATCATCGTTGTTGCAAGATCTGACGACAAACATAGGTAGTTGTAGGGGTGAGCATTCGGTTTTTTCAGTTCAAAATCGAGCAAAAAAAACTAAAATTTTAAAAACCGATTTAATTATATGGTAGACCGAACCAAAACTGAAATATATGAAAACTGAATAAATCGAACCCTTTTTTTTTTGTTATTTCGGATATTTTGGTTAAAACCGAAATTATTTAACCTGAAAGATGCAACGTAGCGTAGGAAGATGTAGGTAGCCAACAACACTCGGCAACGAATCAACGTCGTTCGTGTTTGGAGCCTATAGCGCAGGAAGAAGAAGAGGACCGAAGCCTGGAGGAGTTGAGGAAGATGCAGCGCAATAGCGGCATCCGGTAGCCACGGCACTCGGCAACGAGTCGACGTTGTTCATGACTTCGTGTTCGGTGTTCCTACTAGTGTTGGGTGAGCTGGTGACGTCCAGTAGCTGTGGTAGTTGAAGAGACGAACTAAACTGATGTCCAGCAACCGCAGTAGTCAAAGAAACGAACTAAGGAAGATGCAGTCCAATAGCCGCGACACTTGACAATGAGTCAACGCCATTCATGACTTCATGTTTCGTGTTCCTGCTGGTGTTGGGTGAGCTAGTGACGTCCGACAGCCATGGTAGTTGAAGAGATGAGACTCTGGAGACTCTGGACTCTAGTCTGGAACTGGAAGACGATTAAATGAGAGTCCCAAGATGGCAAGTCGAAAGAGATAGGAATAGAGAGAAAGGAGAAAGGGTCTTAGTCTCTAACAGAGTGACAGTCTGACAGTCTGACTCTTAGATGCCCACATGACAAGAAAGTTTCTTTTCTAAGACATTTTGTGGTTTGCTTATTTTGGAATTTGGCAAATAGCCAAATATGCTTCTTAATTTATTAAATATTAATATAAAATTAAATTATAAATTATAATATTAAATCGGTTTTTTCGGTTTTAACTAAATTATGCTCACCCCTAGGTAGTTGACCTGCTATCTACAATTTTCCCTTGTTGGTGAAGCATCGTTGTTAGTATCAGTTGGTTGTTCTAATGGAAATTACACTTCCGGAGATTTACCCTTCCTCGTAGAGAACTAGGCAACCAGGTTTCCCAAATTGTTTATTCTCAAGGATCGGAGATCGAAGATAGCCTTAGCCCTCAACCTCCCCAATGCCACTCTTGCCCTGTCAATGATCAACCTCCTTGATGACTGTAGTATTGCAGAGGTTTCTCCAACCAAACTTAGTTTTGGCCTCTACACTATGAAACCCGACCTATGACAATGCACAAGGCAAGGTGAGGTGAGGTAGTACCTCATCTCCGACTGTTGTGGTTGAACCATAGCACCTCATCACCGACGAAACCAGAGATGAGGTAGGTGATTAGGTGAGGTGGGGGAAGGAGATTTGGTAGTAGTGACTGTTGTGTTTGAACCATAGTACCTAATCACCAACTACTATGTTCAAACCCTAGTACCTCATCACCGACTAAACCATAGATGCAGTGGCGAGGCAAGGCGGGGGATGGAGGGTTTGGCGGTAGTGAGGCAAGGTGGGGATCATGCCCCAACTCTACTAGGCTCTCTCTTTCTCTCTCCTCTTCGTCTTCTCTACAATCGAACAAACCAAATAGGGCTTTCTCTCTTCTCTTCTTCATTCTCTCTACAATCGAACAAACCAAACATCACTTTCTCTCTCCTCTTCTTCGTCTTCTCTATCGTTGAACAAAACCAAATAGGGCTTTCTCTCCCATCTTCTTCGTCTTCTCTACAATCAAACAAACCCAAGTAGGGCTTTCTCTCTAATCTTCTTTGTCTTCTCTACAATCGAACAAAACCAAACAAGCCTCTTCTTTGTCTTCTCTTTCAATTGAACCCTTTCTTTCCTTTACTCGAATCCAAGAGCAAGATCATCAAGACAGGGGGCTCAACGTTCATCTTCATCATCAAGATAGTGGGTTTTGCTCTAACGGAAGATCTAGGGCTTGTTTGGCGTGTCTTTCTATGCGGTCTTTCATCTATTTACAACCCAGGAAGACCGATTTTTGGTCTATTTCCATTTGGTGCGCAGAAGATCTAGCCGCCAAAAGACGGAACGCCAAAAATATGCGAAAAGCCCATTTTTAGCTGATTTCGAGAAGCTTCAAATGAAGCTTCTTGTGTCTTTCACATTTTAATCTCGCACGGAAAGAGACGTGATTGCCAAACATGCTTTGGGCTACTCAAATCTTCATACAAAAGCTCAATGCATCTTTTGACTGTCAAAGCTACCAGAAAATCTTCCCAAAAAGACATGCCAAATGGGCCCCTAGTTTTAGCCTATGTTAAAAAAAAATCTTTCTTTGTTTCAAAAAGAGGAGAAGAAAAAGGAGAAAAGGAAGAAAGAGAAAGATAGAGGGAAGAAAGAGAGAGATTGGATGGGGAAGGGGTGTCAATGTTATGTCACTACGTAAAGAGGAAGGAAACAAGGGTAATATTGGACTTTAAAAAATTAAATGTCACATATGTACGAATTTTGATAGAATATTAATGGATGCTAACAATAGGGTTAGAGCTAGTCAATTGTCAGAAACAATAGAGGTGGTGCAAGACAATAGTTAAATAGTAAGGGTACAATTTATCAATTAGTTAAAAAGTAGGGGAAATTTAAGAAATTTTCCCTTTAATAAATTTTGTTTGATACTCGTTTTTTATTTTGTAACTTTAAATCATTACTATTTGATTTTTTTATGTATATATTTATTTTTTTAGAAAAGCCTAACAATGCATTCAATGGCTAAAATAATCATATACAATGGAAGATCTAAGGAAATCATTTGGGGACCATGTGTGAGGACAATTTAATGTAAGACCAAATTTGGCAAGTGTATGTGCCACAAAATTCATTGATCTAGGAGCATATCTAACTGAGCAACTAGGGAGGTGATTGAGAGAATTTCTGTAATAGGCAATTATAGCATGAAGATGCTACAATGGTTTAGAGTATACCACCAAAGTCAGTAATAACTTATGCATCACCTTCAATTATAGTAGTTGATTAAAACATTGATCTAGAAAATGCAATAATTTAGACAACGCTTTTTTTTTCAACAACAAATGAAGAGCAATGGGCTATAGGCATAGCCCGAGCAAAAATAGAAGCACCAAAGTGATTTCTTGCTACCCAATCTAACAATGGATAAATTGTGCTTAACTATGGCATTAACATTTATCTTGATCACATCAATCCGTGGTGGGGTCAAATGTAGTTGTTGGCTTGGTGACAAAGGAATAGTAGATGTTTGAGTAGGAGATATTGGCAAGGAGAACACATTATCCATGGTTGCATGAGATTTGGACATAACCATTACTAGATGTTGTTGAAAGTGCATTCAACCAAAAAATCTCATAACCCCTAGGCTTTTATGGTAGGCTTCGGGTTGTAAGCAATGTCAAACTCTTGTAGCTCTATAACCCACTTTGCTAGCCAACCCGAGGTCCCAGGTTTTTGCAATATTTGCTCTAGAGGTTGGTTGGTTAATACAATTATAGTGTGAGTTTGGAAGTAGGGTTTGAGTTTCCGACCATTTTGAGACTAGTGATGTGTTGATTAGTTTAGAGACTCTTCACAACCATGTCATCGACATAGCCTTCAACGTAGCGGTTGATCTGTTCCTTGAATATTTTATTAGCCAGCCATTAGTAACTGGCATCGGCATTTTTCATCCCAAATGGCATCACCCTATAATAATAGGTGTCATGTTCTATGATGAAGGTAGTCTTCTCTTTGTCATCGAGGTGCATTATGATCTAATCATAACTGGAAAAAACATCCATGAAGATGGAGAGTTCATACCCTGGG